TACGGATTGCAGACGTTGGAACTGGTACTGGGTATGTCACACTCGAATTTTTCGATGGCAGCTACTTACACTGACAGAATCTGGCTTACCGATTTGGCTGACGAATTCCCTGCAACTGTCCAACTGGATGGACTTGACATCTCCTTCGATGCTGCTCCTCCACGCGACTGGCTCCCGCCCAACATGAGCCTTCACCATTGGGATATCAAGGCCGACGTCCCTGAGCACCTGGTTGGTGTCTATGACGTGGTTAATGTTCGCCATTTCGTCTTTGTTCTCCAACAGCGTGACTTGAAGGGTGTCCTCGACAATCTATTCAAACTTCTCAGTACGTCAAGCAGCTTCTACAATTCTCATATCTCTAACACCTGGTTTACAGAACCTGGAGGTTATCTTCAGTGGACTGATTTCGACATGTCCTCACTTCGTGTTGAGAAGATCAATCCAGACATCAAGGTGGACGCGCAGGTCAAGTTAATGGAACTTTTTCAGGCCAACGATACCCGTCTTCGTTCCGCGTGGGGTGCCAGTCTGCCCTCGCTTTTTGCACAGAGCGGGTTCACCAATGTCGAATCAGATGTGAAGGATGCACCACCCCATTTGGCAGTTGCACTGCATGAGTGTGGGCTGTTGGCCACGGAGGTCTTAGCCCGAAACAAAGCAGGTGGGAACGAGCAGATGGTGCAGCAACTTAGACAGACCTTGTCAGAGGCTGCAAAGGAGACTCGGGACGGATCTGTTCTGGCTTTTACTAGACTCACTGTCGTTGGTCAGAAGCCGAGCCAGTAGACTGCCTTTAGCCTGGTAGGTAGGTATCGAACCGTCACGCATCGTTAAGCACTGGAGCTAGTCTCATATTTTCTCACATGAAATCATGCCCCTGCTTAGGAATGATGTACGTATACTCATAAAACGATGATGCGCCATCGCTTCGCCTCGCCATGGTCATCGCCATTGCTCAATGCTTACACCCCTTTTGTGATACAATAGTCCCAAATTTGACCAAGCCCCGTAGGGTGAGCCGATTCAGCCTCAACTTCAGGAATGTAACCCTGTGTCACGTAAGGGAGTACGGACGAGAAATACCGACATGGGTATGATGTGTACTCCTATTCCTACATCTTACCCCTCACACCATGTGTCATCTCGTCAGTCATTGCGAAGGTTGGTCGCACAAAGCCAGCGCAAAACTTCCCGGAATGGCATTCCGCACTACCATTGGGGATATTCATAACCTCGATGCCTTCCAGGCAAAAGCAATGAGCAATTAGGTGATATGGCCTCTCCGACTAAGTCTTTCTTTACTGCGCCAAAAAAATCAGTAGGACGACCAGATGGCGGATCAAGACGGAACCCAATACACGGCTGCTTACCTTGCAGAGGATCGACGACCTGCCCTTCTGAGCGTGGCGATCACCTTTCTTGTACTGAGTACGTCTGCAGTCATCTTACGCTTCGTATCTCGTCATATTGGACGTGTTGGCTTCCATCATGATGATGTTTACATTATCTTGGGCTGGATATTCTATGTAGCGTTGATATCTGTGGCGATCGGTACCTCTCATTCTTCTCCTCCAAAAGAACATTAACGTGACGACGTACTGCAGGGGACATGCGCTATGGCGGCGTAGGCCTCCATCAAGCGCGCGTTATAGCTATCGATCCGGTCATGATGCAGACTTGGGCCAAGTTCCTCCTCGCCATCGCCTTCATCTACATCTTCGCCGTGATTCTCCCCAAACTCGCCATGCTGAGCCTGTACATCTCCATCTTCAATCGGCACCGCGCCTCCCGTATTACCTGCTATGCCACCGGCGTCCTGATGATAGGCAACTGCATCGGTTGTGCGGCGGTGGGATTTGCTGTCTGCACCCCTCTGCGGCGACTGTGGGACCCAACTGTGGAAGGGCACTGTGTCAACATCAATGCGTGGTTCCGATACTCGCGGATCGTGAATATCGTTTCGGATGTGATCATGCTCATCCTGCCTATCCCGCATGTGGTCCGGTTGCAGTCAACCATGCGGTTGAAGGTTGGTTTGTTAATCACCTTTTTGCTGGGAAGTGTGTGAGTCGAGCCATTCTTCTTACAGTGCGTTGTGGTATATGGCTGACGAGTGTAGGGGGCTCATCGCCGGCCTGATTGCCCTCTTTACGTTCAGCACTACCAACGCCGTCACGGACAACACCTGGAACGCGGCATTGTTGGTCATCTGGACCCTCGTCGAGGTGGGGATGTATCTTATTGCTGCGTGCCTGATCTCGTATCAGCCGCTTGCTAAGTTTATTTGGAGAAATACTTGGCGTCGACGGCGAGGGCAGAAGAACAGTTCTCTGGACCAAGAACATAGCAATGTGTGGGTCCGGACGAATAGTACGCCTAGTCAGAGTCATAGTACCAGGGGAAAGACGGAAGAAGAGTTCTTAGAGCTGATGACAAGGGAGCGCTCTGACAGGGGGTCATCTATCTCGGGGGGAATTATGATTGAGCGCCAGGTGACAATGGATTGAATACGGATGTATTATGCTTATGCCATCACCGCTACTGTTGCTACCTCTAGCATAGAATGAAACAGAATGCAGTTATTCCAGACACAAACAGAGTGAACCTGATTATGGTGATGAATGTGACTCCGAAGACAGTGAAGGAGCGGTCAGAGGACCCTGAGGGATAACTGGCCTCAGGCAGCGACACCCGCGTTCCTCGATGCCTGAGGTACCCGTGCCCCGCCGCAAAAACCCTCCGAGTCCGAACGGCGTTTCCCCTCCGACAGTAGCCAGCCAGAGAACGTGCCTGAGAGGATTTCCCCTCCGCTGGTTTCTCCCTTTTATTTCTTCTCTTCCCCTCCTCCCTCAATCTCTTCTTCCCTCTTCTCACCCTCATCATCCCCTTCAGTAAGTCATCTCATCCCATCCTCTGTTCAATTGCAGTCAGTCAGTTATCGAGACTTGTCCTAACTAACCTCGTCCAGCTTCTTTCTTCTTAACTACCTAATCCTTTCTTATCATCACCATGGCTGCCCCCGCTTTGAAGTTCAAGGTCGCCGACATCGTAGGTGGCCTCCCAGATCCTCCCTCTCACAATCAATACTGTGCAGCATGTTAACCCCCTTTAGTCTCTGGCTGCCTTTGGCCGCCGCGAGATTGAGCTCGCCGAGATTGAGATGCCTGGTCTCATGGCTATCCGCCGCAGATACGCCGAGGACCAGCCCCTGAAGGGTGCCCGCATTGCCGGTTGCCTTCACATGAGTATGTTTATGTCAGAAAGGGGGTTAGAGACTGAAATCTGACTCGCCTTTTAGCCATCCAGACCGCTGTTCTCATCGAGACCCTCACCGCCCTTGGTGCTGAGGTCACCTGGACCAGCTGCAACATCTTCTCCACTCAGGACCACGCTGCTGCCGCCATTGCTGCCTCCGGCGTCCCTGTGTAAGTTCAACTGCCATTCTGAAACCAGGCCAGCTCTAATATCATAATAGCTTCGCCTGGAAGGGTGAGACCGAGGAAGAGTACCAGTGGTGCTTGGAGCAGCAACTCAACGCCTTCAAGGATGGCCAGAAGCTCAACCTCATCCTCGACGATGGTGGTGACCTGACCGCTCTCGTCCACAACAAGTACCCCGAGATGCTCAAGGGCTGCTACGGTGTCTCCGAGGAGACCACCACCGGTGTTCACCACCTCTACAGAATGCTCAAGGAGGGCAAGCTCCTTGTTCCCGCCATCAACGTCAACGACTCGGTCACCAAGTCCAAGTTCGACAACCTGTACGGTTGCCGTGAGTCTCTCATCGATGGTATCAAGCGTGCCACCGATGTCATGATTGCCGGCAAGGTCGCCGTTGTTGCCGGTTACGGTGATGTCGGCAAGGGCTGTGCCGATGCTCTCCGCAGCATGGGTGCCCGTGTCCTCGTTACCGAGATTGACCCCATCAACGCCCTTCAGGCCGCTGTCCAGGGCTACCAGGTGGTCACCATGGAGGAGGCTGCTCCCCAGGGTCAGATCTTCGTCACCACCACCGGTTGCCGTGACATTCTCGTTGGCCAGCACTTTGAGGTTATGCGCAACGACGCCATTGTTTGCAGTAAGTGATGCGTTTCCACTAGGTTTCATGACTTTTAACTGATCAACACAGACATTGGTCACTTCGACATTGAGATTGACGTTGCTTGGCTCAAGGCCAACGCCAAGTCTGTCCAGAACATCAAGCCCCAGGTTGACCGCTACCTGATGCCCAACGGCCGCCACATCATCCTCCTTGCCGAGGGTCGTCTGGTCAACCTTGGCTGTGCCACTGGCCACTCTTCCTTCGTCATGTCCTGCTCCTTCTCCAACCAGGTCCTTGCCCAGATTGCTCTGTTCAAGGCCGAGGACGAGGCGTTTGGCAAGAAGTACATCGAGTTCGGCACCACCGGCAAGAAGTCCGTTGGCGTCTACGTTCTTCCCAAGATCCTGGACGAGCAGGTTGCTCTGCTCCACCTGGAGCACGTCAACGCCAAGCTGTCCAAGCTCACCCCCGTTCAGGCCGAATACCTTGGTCTGGATATTGCTGGTCCTTTCAAGAGCGAGATGTAAGTGCGCCTAGTCGTTTGTATCTGGTCCAAGCTAATGTTTTGCAGCTACCGCTACTAAGCATCTTCCTTTCTCAACGGCGTCGACGCTTAATATACCTTAACACATAGACCTTTTCAACATGATCACGATGTTACGAACAACATAAAGGGTTCTCTCAACTTAGAGCTCAAAAGTATTTTGTCTTCAACGGCAATAAAAGGGGCATGCATGGGGGTTATTTCTTTTCCTATTGGCTGTATGGGCGGGTCTACTTGGGAGTATGTTTGCATTCAACAATGCCTCCGATATTTCTCGATATTTCTTTCTTAATATCCATCCCGACTAGGTCGGGTCAAATGATACCAAACCGATGCATTCACATGCATTGAAATACAGATGCAGTGCATTGATCACATTTCGTCATTATATCGTAGGTTCGTAACTGTATCGTCACTTCGTGTGGCCCATGCGAAGCTCATTACTTGCTCTGAACAAATCCGCTAGGGAATCAGCTACAGAGATGGCAAACTCAGGGTCATTGATTTCTCTCTTGTCTCGCAGAACTGCAATTCCTGTCCCGTCGAGCTCGTTCTCGAGAGTGGAGAAAAGTACCTCATCCGCTTCCTGGTCGTGGAATGGCTGGCCCGGCGTATCGAGCATGCTGATACCCGCCGCAGGCAATATCACCCGCACGCGCTCGGGGTGAGCCACATGGCTTTTGAGCTTCTCTGCCATGAAACGGGCAATCCGCTCGCATTCCTCGGGCGTCGTCCGCATGAGCGTCACCGTCGGGTTATGCTCATACAGCAGCCGGTGGCTGTCGCGAAACCGCGCGGGCACCGTCTCCCGCGGCCCAAAATTGACCATGTCACAGGCACCCACGCTGATGATCTGCGGGAGGCCCGCTTCGGCCGCCGCGATGAGACGCCGCGGGCCCGCGGAGAGCACGCCGCCGACGATCTCATCGGGGATCTCGGACGTGGTGAGATCGACCACGGCGTCCAGCTGGCCCTCGCGGATGAGCCGCTCCATCGCTTTCCCGCCCGCCCCGGTCGCATGGAACACGTACACCTCGCAGTCGAGCGTCTGCTGCAGCCGCTCCCGGATGGTGTTCACTGCTGGCGTCGTCACCCCGAACATGGTGATGGCTATCCGTGTCTTACCGCTGTTCCGGTCAGCTTGCGTGCTCTGCGTCTGCGCTTGCGACGCATATGACACAGCCATCCCGTTCACGGCCGCCGCGGCGTTCGTTAGAATCCGGTTCAGGATGCGGTTCGTCCCTGCGACGTCGACGACGCTGTACATGAGGGTCAGGTCGGTTTCCTCAACGTAGGGCGCGACGTCGCCGCTGGCCATGGTCGAGACCATGAGTTTGGGGAAACCGATGGGGAGAGCGGTGCGCATGGCGGCGGTTGCGAGGGCAGTGCCGCAGGAGCCGCCGATGCCCAGGACGGCGTGGATGGAACCGGTGCGATGAAGGGTGGTGAGTGTTGTGATGGCATGGGTGGTCATCCGGTGGATGTATTCTGCGCGGGGGAGATCCGATATTTTTGTGTCAGTGCTGGTTAGGTCGGGATGTTTGATTGCGATGGAGCTGTGCGGGCTCGGGGTGCGGCCGACGTCCATGAGCAGGACGGCGCAGGTGTTGTGGGTAAGGAGTTGAGACTGCGTGAAGCATAGTTCGTCCCATTTGGTGTCGCAGGTTCCGATGAGGACGATGGTTGGTTTGGTGGCCATCATGTATGCTGTACTTGGTTTAGGACACCAGGTGTAATTGTTCAATTGAACAGGTAGTCAACCTGACCACATTTCTATCTTTCAGATGAACAGTTGCAACGTGGAGTAGACTTCTTCTGCAGCTGCTGCAACTAAACGTCAATGACGCAGTGCGAGCGGGGTTGGCACACCATGCATGCGGCGTTTAAGCTGCTGCCTCCTCTGTCTCTCATCTATCTCTAGCACAGAGAAGGAAACAACCTAGAAGCAAGATAATTGCATCAAAATGCCCCGTCCAACAAATCGTCAAGAAGTGCTGGCTCGACTCCGCCAGACCATCGCCGAGGGCTCAATCATCGTCGGCGCAGGAGCTGGTTCGTACCATTGCCGTCCACCCACCTTCCAGCCAATCTAACTGATACGCGACACGCAGGAATCGGCCTCTCTGCGAAATTCATCGAAAAAGGCGGCGCGGATCTGATCCTCGTCTACAATTCGGGCCGGTTCCGGATGGCCGGGCGAGGGTCGCTGGCAGGCATGATGCCATACTCGGATGCCAACCAGGTCGTTGTCGAGATGGTTCGTCTTTTCCCACGGATACACTTTACAACTATAACTGTATATTGAACAATGACAGGCAAACGAAGTCCTGCCCGTGGTAGAGCACACGCCCGTCCTCGCTGGCGTGTGCGGAACAGACCCCTTCCGCGACATGCGCTCGTTCCTGGCACAGCTCCGCGGGCTGGGCTTCATCGGCGTGCAGAATTTCCCGACGGTCGGGCTCATCGACGGGAAATTCAGGCAGAATCTCGAGGAGACGGGGATGGGCTACGACAAGGAGGTGGAGATGATCCGGCTCGCGCACGAGATGGACCTCGTCACGACGCCGTATGTCTTTACCGTCGATGATGGGGAGCAAATGGCACGTGCGGGCGCGGACGTCATCGTCGTGCATGTCGGGCTAACCACGTCCGGGACGATCGGGGCGCGGACGGCGATGTCGCTGGATGAATGTGTTGTTGTCATTCAGGAGATCCGCGATGCGGTCGCCGGGATCAATCCTGAGGTGATTGTTCTGTGTCATGGGGGGCCGCTGGCGGGTCCTGAGGACGCGGAGTATGTGCTCAGTCGGACGCGAGGGGTGCATGGGTTCTTTGGGGCGAGTAGTATGGAGAGGTTACCGGTTGAGCTGGCGATTCAGGAGAATGCGCAGGCATTTAAGCGGTTGAAGATCCGTCAGTAATCTAGTCAATATCCTCAGTTACTGGAATTGATATGATGAACCACCGGAGACCCGAACGGGAAATTCTCCGTGGTACAGACAGTGGAGAAGATAGATCCACAGACAGACTCGGTTATTATCTTTCTATCCGTAGATAGTCTACCCCATGCAATGTTACTCACTGGATAAATTGTCTGCTGCGATGAAGACTGGCTATGTATGCTGTGGACCGCGTGATTATCTGTTGCTGTATTTAACGAGGGGTGACCCCTCTATCATTGATGGAAAATTGGACGGTTGCAACTAGAGACCTCTATATAACTAGCATTAATTCATTGCCTTGAAGGGCATATCCTCTTAATCATACACTCAGAATAACAATGTCGCGACCTTTGGAGGGAAAATTTGGTATCGTCACTGGGGGCTCACGGGGTAAGTCTACAGTCTACAGTCTACACCATCTACACTACACGATCCGGCCACGGGCTCTCAGCTAACGAAACAGGGATTGGCGAGGCAATCGCCCGGAACCTCGCCGCAAAAGGCTGCTCGCTCCTCCTCAACTTCACCTCTGAATCCTCGCGCGCTCGCACAGAGGAGCTCTGCGCCTCGCTGGCCTCGACGCACTCCATCCGCTGCGTCGCCGTGCAGGCCGACCTCCTCCACGCCGAAGAAGCCGTCCCCCAGATCCTAGCAGCCGCCAAACAACACTTCACCTCGCCCGAGGGCAAGTTCCAGATCGACGTGCTCATCAACAACGCCGGCGTCAGCGCAGACCGCTTCCTCAACGACCCCGTCAAGGGCCCCATCGACCGCGAGTACTTCAACTGGCACTACAGCATCAACGTGCTCGCCCCGCTGCTGCTCACGCAGGCGTGCGCGCAGTTCCTCCCGACCGACCGCTCCGGCCGCATCGTCAACATCTCCTCCGTCTCCTCGAGTATCGGGTTCACGGGCCAGAGTGTCTACGGCGGGACCAAGGCCGCGCTCGAGGCCATGACGCGCACCTGGGCGCGCGAGCTCGCCGACCGCGCGACCGTCAACGCGGTCAACCCCGGCCCTGTCATCGGGGACATGTATTTTGCGACTGGCGAGGAGTTTTGGAAGCAGATGCAGGGGTTCCAGGACGCGACGCCGCTGAGCAAGATGGTCGAGGACGATCCGCAGGTGAAGGAGTTGAGCGAGGAGCAGATCCGCTTGATCAAGGAGAAGATGGGCGGCCGGCGGCCGGCGTTTACTAGTGAGATTGCGGGGGTGGTGGGGATGCTGTGTACGGCGGATGGTTTTTGGTGTACGGGGAGTGTGGTGTGTGCCAATGGTGGTATGCGGATGGGATTTTAGTATATGCCGTAGAGATAGATCATCAATTGTCGTTGTACATATGCATCGAATTGTCTGCCTAGTAAGGTAGTTGTGGTGTTGCCTTTGTAACGGAAACACGAGAGACGAGACAAAATGATGTCATTATCGTCAACAATTCCCATTCCTCAACTCCGCAGCTCACAGCTTCACATCTCCAATTCCGCCTCATGGTCCTCAGCCCACGTCCCATCCATATTCGTGTCTGAAATCAATTGATACAAAAAGAAAATGACCTCCCTCCGACTCAATCTATCGAGCCTCCGCTTAACCCACCGACTTGCCAGACCTCTACCCTCCCGCGTCCTCCGCGCCTCCATCACACCATCCATCCACCGGCGACCTCTATCCACCTATCCCTTGAGGCGACCATCCCTCGCAACCTTCCCTGCCCTCGAGAAATCCCCAATATCAAAAAGACACTCCTCTACCGGTAAATCTCAAGCGGACCTCCTCGTGGAAGAACTCCAAGAACTGTACCCCTTCCCTTCCTTCCCCTTCCCTTTCAATACAAGGGAGACAATCTGACAAGAGAATCAGGTACGAAACCGCCAAAGACGAATTCGAAATCGCCACAGACAGCACCGCCAGCTCGACCATCTACGCGGCCTCGGACCGCGAGTCCGCCCGCGACGCCCTCAACCAGCTGCTTGCCGTGTACAGCCTCTACACGACCGACATCGCCACGACGGGCGAGTCGCATGCGCCGCAGCAGACGCAGCAGGGTGATGGCAATGCTGGCGAGCAGGGGCAGGTGGTGAATACCAATTTCGATCCGTCAGATATCCCGGCGCGTGTGCGCGACGAGGTGCGGAGGCGGGTTGGGCAGCGGGTGAGGGAGTTGAGTAATGCTGTGGAGGTTTTGGAGGAKAGGGCTCATGCTGAATGATTGGTCCACAAAGGGAGTTAGGCTGGGGCCATCTGATAAAGTTGAGTCATTATAGCTGCTAGCTGCGCTGCTGCTAGTATACATTCATATCGTGATTGGTATCATCATTTGAAAGTATTCCCTCCAACGCCGGGCAATTGCATACAATTGCATAAACTTTTATACCCAGATGCCGTATACCGCCTTGTCTAACTCCAATGTGATGAAGAAAAGGGTATTTATCAAACAGTGCCAATGGGGAATGCAAATTGCTCGGAGAGCGGCGACGGAGAGGGAAAGGCCGTGCTCTCTGCTTTGTGTGTCGTGCGCATATGCCGTTTCAATTGGTCTACAGAGTCAGAGTCAGTACTGGCCGTCTGCCAAGGGTCAAAACAACATACCAGGTCGAGTAAAACTTTTGCTGCATCCAGGATAATTGCATTTGTGTTTTCGTTCCCCGTGAGCTATACTCGTCAGTCATGTACTACTACCCAATAAGTGAGGAACATACTTAGTCGATGACTCGACATGTTGGACGACTGTAGATGTCAGTACATGCTTACATGCCATTCCCTAGCAAAGGAAGTGACTTACATCGCCCGTCTGAAAGTTGCATCCGGGAAATGTGCATTTGAACGGCTTCTCGCCCGTATGCGTCCGTGAATGCGTTTCTATCGAGTCAGCATCCAACCAATGACACACAATCAAGTAACTTACTTAGTTCACTGCTGTCCGTGAATGACTTGCCACATTCGGCACACTTGTATGGCTTCTCGCCTCGATGGCTTCGTTCGTGTCGCTCCAGTGTCGCTTGTCGAGCAAACAGCTTGCCACAAACCGAACATTTGAAGTTTTTATCTATGGAAAACTGTCAGTTTCGGCTTGAACCTCATAAACTAATGAACCTACAGTTACTGTGCGTCAGAAAATGCCCCTGCAGCTTTGACTTTTGGGAGAAAGGCTCGTCCGGGCGATGACATCCTTCCCAGCAGCAATAGTAGCCGGTACCCTTTGCCCCTTCCACAGTCCCCATATGGGTTGCAACCAGATGCTCCTGGAGCGCGCAGGCGTCGGAAAATGTGGCTCCGCAGGCTCTCTTGCCACCATGGCTCGTGGTGGTCCATTTGCAAATATGTACTTCCCCGTCAACAGAAGAGAACCTCGGACTGGTCAACACTGATGAGGCACCACCCTCCAACGGCGGAGGCGTCTCGCCCGGACTGGATATCAGTTGTGAACTCACGCTCGATCGGGAGTGGCGGGAATACCCGGAGTACGGTCCGTACGGGTGAACATGCGTGTGGGGGTGAATTCGACACCGATGATGCGAGCGGCACGGTCCCTTGAGCGGGACAGTCCCATTGACATTGACTGACGCTTTGGACGAATCGTGAGGAGTGGATGGCAGGTGAAAGCACGTGAAGGAGTCGGTCGAGCCGTTGTCCAGTGTGCTTAGATGGATGTGGCAGTTCTGGTCCTCGTGGGTGTGGGGCTCAGGACAGGCAGACACGCTGGGGCACATTCCAAGCATCTGGAATACATCCGCCGGATTGACATTATTCGGCAGGGGAA